GGGTGGCCAAAATAACCTGCAGATGATATATTTTTTATGTTTGAATTAAGTTGGTTTGTCTTGTCTTCTACTGCAGCTGCCAGTAAACCTGCTAGCAGATTAGCTAGCTGTTGTGTTGGCTATCCCTTTCGGATAGGGCAGGTTGTAGTGGTCTGTTAAGAATCTCTCATTTCCAGTCTTTATGCTAAGTTAACCAGTCGCACATGAGAGAGTGGTAACAATTTTCTAATCTCTCGGAAATCAGATGTGTTTTTCCCAAAACTCTAAATTTTAAACAGTAGATCTTTAGTCCCATACATGTTGGGTAAACCTTTTATTTCTTAGATGTGTTTGTTTTTTAAGTTTGTAACCTTGAAAGTGAAGTTTTATGGAGCAGGAGGAGGGGAGGGCTTTTATTTGTTTGTTGGGCAAGGTTTCCCTCAATCCCTGGTGCTGACAAGTATGTTGCACACCCTCTCACCTGCATGTGATCTTGATGGAAATCTCTGGTCTTCTGTTCACACACGCACGCACAGAGCCCCAGCTATTTGCACTTCCTGACTTTGAAAGCTGTCAGCAGAGCAACATCGAGCTGTTTCAGTACTCTGGACAGTTCCTCCACAGAGACCTGCAGAGTGTTCAAACAAGGGGCTCTCACCTCACCCCGAAGAGTCCAGCGCTGAGATTTGCCACTTGCAGACTGTTGTGTGTGTACATGTGTGTGTGTGTGTGTGTATGTGTATGTGTATGTGTATGTGTGTGTGTGTGTGTGTGTGTGTGTGTGTGTGTGTGTGTGTGTGTGTGTGTGTGTGTGTGTGTGTGTGTGTGTGTGTGTGTGTGTGTGTGCGCAGATGAGTCCACTGAGTCACCCAGCCCTTCCCCCACATACGCATATCATCCACCCAGAGCCATTCTATCTGTATGGAAATTTGGGCTCCACAGCTGGAATCCCACAAAGCACTGTCATCTACTAATAGTTATTATCTCTTTGGCCTGCTCCCTCACAAAAACCCTGCAATACAAACACATCACATCTTTATGGTAATGCCCTACAATACAGCCCCAAGCTATGGTGCATAGACCTTTGTTATCATTACGATAATTCCCATTCTTACTTGACTCCTCATTACACCATTGAAACCGCTCGAGGTTGGATATAGACAAATTCCTGCATCTTTCTTTATTACACTGTAGAATACAGTGTTGATACACAAAACTTAAACTCCCTTAGTACTCTGTAAACATAGTGAGGCAGTTGGTATAATGACAATTAAGCATTGGAGTTGTCATTGTGAATTAGCAGTAGAGAGGCCTGTGCGCTGTAGCATTTGTGATTATTTGTTGGAAATAAGGTACTAAATACTAAACAAAATAATAAATACTAAATGAGTCAATACGTCAATAAGAAGACAGTAGGATTTTTATGTGTTTTTACAAAACTCTGGTGTAATTTTGTTTAAATTGTAATTAAACAAAATGAGACCTTGTGTGAAGAGTTTTGTCTGGTCTAACAATGTAAAACAAAATTAATTCTTTTAATACAAATTTGACTAATATATGTAAGCTTGTGTAGGCTTCATTTGTCCATGGTGATATATATCGACATCAGAAAAATATTATTTTGGTGATGATTTCATCCTTATGGCCCAGGACTATAGATATATATCCTGTATATCCTGTTATTCTTTTTAAACTAGTTTTAACCTAGTCTTTTAGCATAACTTAAGGTGTATGCCACATTGCATTTCACTACACATATTAGAGTATGTGACAAACCTTTGAATCCTTTTCTATGTCAAATTTAATCAGCATCATCTTCTTCTTCTGATGTACAGAAGAGGATTAAGGCCACATGTGAAAAAGATATTTGAGTTCTGCGTTTAAAGTAAGAATTTAGATTCTTTGATTTGAATTTTTTTTTTACATTAAACTCAAACTCCAAATTTGTCACATGTGGCTCTATTTTCTTGTCAGGTTTTCCACAACCAATTCAAAAGAAGAGCAGGTGATTTACTATACATGTATGCCATGATAAGCTTAGGGTCAGCTCTACATAAGAAGCAAGGCACAGAGAGACACGGACCTTGCCGTGGCTGCTCGTGTCCTTGCGTCTCTCCATGAATGCCCGCACAAGGCCTCCGGATTACAAAAAAGTAATTGCGGAGTGATTGGCACAGCTTGTCCCGTGCAGCCTGTGTCCCACACTTGAAGGCCCTCCTCGGAGCACCCTCATTGTCACACAGCCTTTTAGCACCTTTGTTCCTCCCTTCCCCTAGGACCTTACAGCTCACCATTGGCAGATGAGTCCCTGCCTGTGACAAAAGGGTCCCTGTGCTCAGCCTCATTTGATGCAGTGATGAACTCACCCTCCCACCCCCCACCCCTGCCTCACTCACTCACTCACTCACACACACACATATTGCACACCACCTCCTGCCAGAAGAAATGTTCCGTTTAGCGGCGGAGGATGTGGGGGTCAGGACCCAGGGGTGGGCTTTTAGGAGACAGATAAACATCAGAGCAGGAGTGAAGTGATGTCTTGTTTACACATTAGCAACCATTTAGCAAGTCTCACTGTTTTCACTGCGTCTCTCCGGTGGCCTCACAAACAGCTGATGTTTCTCTTTTGTTGTCTTTCCAGCTCAGAGTCCACTCAGGATCAACACTCTGCCCAGTGGTGAATGATTTGTACAATCTGAGCCGATCTTGATTAGGATCTGTGCTGCTATAACTGACATTTAGTCAGTTAAAATAAGTCATGTATCGTATCCAGTTTCTAATAAATGACTGTGACTCATCCAGTTATAGAGAGCATATTAGAAAGATCAGAATAATTAGCCAGAAGCTCTTTTTTTCCTGTGATTGTCATCAAACTGTCTCTCCACATTTTGCTCTGCTTTCACCCCTCCACTGTTAATTTTTGTGATACCCAATCAGGCAAACATACACACACACACACACACACACACACACACACATAAACTGCATCTTTCTAATACCATCTAATGAGGTGATGACCAACCACTTGTTATAATTGCTTCAGTCTCCTTTTAATTTTCAAGCTTATTAATCATATGTAGAGTTATTTAAGAATGCATAAATTAATCTTAGATTAAAAAGCCTATCAAAGCCTCAAAACAATTAAAGAGTAAGGTAAGATTTCCCCTGGGCTGGCACTTTTATTTTAATAGAGTGTTCAGGTGATTATCATACTTTGATGCAGCACTGTGATTAATGCAGACACACTTTTAAATGAGCTGTTCTCTCTTGCACAAAAAGGTAGAATAAGCATGAGACTGATAATGACCTTACTGACTTTTTGGATACTTTTCTCATTTCCTCGCTCATATTAGATTTTATCACAGTGAATGAGTCTGTGAATGTTACATTTAGTTTGAAAATATGGATTTTATATAAATCTGTCAGAGTTGAATTTTAAGGTTTTCATTCGCAGCCTCTTGTTCAGGCGTTTTAGGCCATTTCATACCAGTTGGAGTTGTTCACACTGTCAATAAAACTTTGAATGTATCCGATAGCAACAATGACTTTTAATTAAGACGCTTATGTTGATGACAATCGAGGTTTAACAGGCCATATACCCGTTCAATGATCGATAGATAAGCAGATGGAGGAGATAGATAGTTGATTTGAATTTGGTTGGACCACCGTCTGTTCACTCATGGACTCTCAAGCGAAATGCTCTTTGACATTAATCTCAGTTATAAAACTTAGTTTTTGTTTTTTATCCAAATTGATTGGCGGTGTAAAATTATTGTGAAATAATGCTCATCACGGGACACAATCCAGTTCAAGAGGAAAACTGCAACTTTAGACATTAAGTCAGTTTTAGGTTTAATTTCTAAATACGATGTGACAAAGAAATTAATTACTAATAACGTTAATTGTTCATTAGCATTTTTATTTGCATTTGGTAACTGTTATACGAAATTGTTGTTTTAATAGCCCAGATGTTTTGTCATTATTATTATTATTATTATTATTATTATTATTATTATTATTATTATTATTATTATTATTTTCATTATTATTATTTCGAAATTAGGCTACTCTCCAAAATGCTGTCTTTAGATATTCAAATTACCAGTGCATCTTCCTTTCTTATAATGAATACATAGGGACAAATTGTCATTATTGCTCCACAACTCTGCCAACTGAAGTCAATAGGACCAACAGCAACGTGTCCTGTTACCTTCATCAATATTACATCAGTGCTTGGCGCGCCGCGCGTGTGCCAGATGAAAATGATTAACCCAAAGCTTTATTGACTTTATAAAGTTAAATGCCCTCCGCTTATGGCGCAAGGCTGTCCGCATTGTTCCTCTCTCTTTTTTTTCAACTTGGAAGGGGGAAAAAAAAACTAAGCGCAGATTACAAAGAGAGTGACCTTTAGAGCAGCTGGTTATTGTCAAAACGCATGTAGGCGAAGTGTGGCTTGTAAACGATGAATCCGTGGGAACCCAGCACATGTTGAAGGCCTGCACGCCGTATTCATCAGCGGCCCGAGTCCATGCACACAACAATGTGTTGGTGGGTCCCTGCTGTTTTTTAGCGGAATGCCAAATCCCACTGCAGCCTCCTCCGTGCATAATGCCAATAACATTTTTTTTTTGTGCAAAAGAATTAATTAAATGCATTATGGTTGACACAATAGGCCAGAGAGTAATGATAGATTGATGTGCACATTGTCTTTTTTTTTAATTTATAATGTATTTAAACCTATAGGGTGAATTAAATTATATGTTTAGTTACTGTTTTTAGTTACATAATTCCACCGCTTTTGCAGACAACACTTTATCCGTGTGTGCGTGGACCTGCAGGCTCCTCTAAGACCAAACACTCAAAAGCATCTCCATTGGTCATGAATCCATAGTTAATGCAGACTGCCTGTGTGAGTGGGAGTGCCTTGCGTTAAGTTTTGCCGTCACTTGATTGCTGTCGGTGTCGTAGAAGGGGGCGGGGGGGAGGCTGTGCTACAGTCTGCCTGCCATGTGGACGCTGCCGCTGCTGCTGCTGAAGCAACACAAACCCTCCGCGCACACCGACAGCGGAGCAGAGAGAGAGAGAGAGAGAGAGGAGCACAGTGAGCAGGAGGGAGGCGGTGCTGCACGGACAACTGCGTCCCACTCCTAACGCAAACAACCTCGCATCCACCAGCACAGACTATACTTCTTACCACTCCGACTTTCACTTGATCACAGCTTTCTCGTTCACGACGGAGGGAAGCTGCGCGGACATTAGAGGTGAGTTTTTTGGGGGGGGGAAGTGATTTCGACAGTGTGTGTTTGTGGCATGACCTCAATACATCCATCACAGCGTTTGGTTTTACGCGCAGTCTGTTGAAATTATAACATGAAATTATTTAGAATTTAAAGCTGCAGACAGTCAGTGTTGTAGCAGTAAAAAAAAAGCTCCAGGCAAATAAAATTAAGTGGAGTTTAAAGTGCAAGTAGGAATATTTAATTTGCACATCACCAATATGTCACAAACATAATTCTAAATCAGATTTTCTAATTTTATTCTTAAAGGGTTCTTAAAAATAAAATTATGTTCATGCAACTTTATTAAAACTGGGCCTGTAATTGTCTGTCCTCTCTGCGTTTAGCAGGTTAAACTACTATGAAACTAAAATGCGGTGTTAAATGCTTATTACAGCTCTACTTGAGGCTGTTATTGCTTTGACATAAACTCATATTAATGTCAAACGTCGTCTCTGCAGCTTCCAGGCCTCCAAGGATGGACTCCATACCTGCGGGGCGAGACTCCAGCTCCTCGCCAAGCTCCAAACAAGAACTTTCCTACCCGACCTCCAAGAACCTGAAGCCTAACCAGGTCGGAGAGACGGTGCTGTACGGAATACCGATCGTGTCTTTGGTGATAGATGGCCAGGAGAGACTTTGCCTTGCACAGATATCAAACACCCTGTTGAAGAATTACAGCTATAACGAGATACACAACCGGCGTGTGGCGCTGGGGATCACCTGCGTTCAGTGCACTCCTGTCCAACTGGAGATCCTGCGGAGAGCCGGGGCGATGCCAATCTCCTCCAGGCGCTGCGGGATGATCACTAAACGAGAAGCCGAGAGACTTTGTAAGTCGTTCCTAGGAGCTCATTCGCCTCCTAAACTTCCAGAAAATTTTGCCTTCGATGTGTCCCACGAATGCGCCTGGGGGAGTCGAGGTAACTTCATCCCTGCCAGATACAACAGCTCCAGGGCCAAGTGCATCAAGTGCTCCTATTGCAACATGTATTTTTCTCCAAATAAATTCATATTTCATTCGCATCGCACGCCAGAGTCCAAGTACACGCAGCCAGATGCAGCTAATTTCAATTCTTGGAGGCGGCATCTCAAATTATCAGATAAAGGCAGCCAGACAGATGTATTACACGCATGGGAAGACGTGAAGGCCATGTTCAATGGGGGCAGTCGCAAGAGGACGCTGCCATGCAGTGGGTCGTCTTCCAGCTCTTCATTAAAACCACAAGGACCAAACCGTCCCCGAGACTCACCCGAGGTACCTGCAAAAATCCTCAGCTGCGAGGACAACCGGGGCGGCATGGCGAGCACGCGCAGCTACCCGGTCATCCCCGTGCCCAGTAAAGGCTTCGGGATGCTGCAAAAGATCCCGCCGCCACTCTTCCCTCATCCGTACGGGTTCCCAGCTTTCGGCCTGTGCCAGAAGAAAGATGACAGTATGATGGGAGAGCAGAGCAAAGCAGGCCTCCCGGGCGTCCTGTGGCCTGGTACCAAGGACAGCGCCTATCACTCCTTCCCCATGTTCTGGCCCGCGGCTGGCGCGCTGCCCATGCCTCCGTACCCCCAGACTCAGCACAAACCCCCACCAGAGCTGCTGTGTCCTCCCAGACAGACAGACATGGACATATCTGAGCACAGCGACCGGAGCACCAACACGTCAAAAGACAGCATGGTCGAAAACGAGCGCTGCTCCAGCACCCAGTCCACGCGTAACGAAGACGATAAGTCCGGCGACGAGGCGAGGCCGCTGGAGGGGATGACCCTTGCGCCCCGGAAGATCAGCTACGTCTCCGCGTTCAGACCCGTTATTAAAGATGCTGACTGTATTGCCAAGCTTTACGGCAACAGGGGCGCTTACAACGGGTGTCGCACCGGCTATTTATCGCCCGATTTTTTAAGCGAGAGCTCGAGCTATCGGTCCATGTCCCCCTGCGTGGACAGCGAGGGCGAGCCGGATGTGGACGTGGAGACGAATAAAACACCAGAGGAGGAGGAGGACTCCCGGCCTCTGCCCTCGGTGTGTCCTCGGACTCCTCCCGGCTTGGCTCACAGTGTTTCACCAAACGACTCAGACTCCAAGGCCATGCAGGAGAGCAGCCTGGTTGACTCCCAGAAAATGAGTCTACACGTGGTCCAGTCCTCTGAAAGAGAACTGCAGGACAAGCAGTTATCAGAGACCCACATAGCTGCGTCTTTTACCGAAGTGAGTGACTTATAAGTGAGAAACACTGGCGATAATTCAAGCTGTAATATTTCACTAAAGTTTGTCTTCAAATGGGTTTCTTTTTCCTTGGCTTGTGTGTATTTTTAAACAGATAAATCTCTGTGTTCTTGTGGGGGAAATTTGTCCTTATGTTAAAACAGTGTGCAACAAACAGCATGTCCACAACATTTAGGGGGGGGTGAACATAAATCATTATTTTAAATAAAAACTATATACACTTGAACTTAGAGTATATTTTCACTCATTAATTATACATTTTATTTGAATAAATTATACTTATTTTACAAAACCTTTTGTAATTTTAAGAGCTCAAAGAAGTGGTGATTCTTTCTTCTGTAGGTGTACACACCGGAGAGGGGTGAGCTGCAACAAAGGAGCAGTCCGTATCAGTTCAGACCTGCGAATTACCAGACTGGAGTACTTACAACAAATGGTTAGACATGTTTTTCTGCTTTTGTTAAAACATTTAGATGTCTAAAAAAAAAACTGATTACTTTAAAAAAAAAAAGAGGGGAGAAATTACAGCGATTTATTTTCTCTTAAGATGAGAGTTCAAGTAAAGAAGAGCCGTCGTCCACAGTGGAGGAGATCGAAACGAAATCTTTTAATGAACAAAGCAGCGAGGAGATCCAGCGAGAGCCGGATGAGGGTAAGTTACACCGAGGTCAGCGAATAGGTTTGTGCGGTGTTTTGTGTGTGTGTGTGTGTGTGTGTGTGTGTTATAAGCTCTGCTATAAGAGATACGGGTCTACTTTTTTTTTTTGTAGAAATATAATTTATTTTCTGTGTATTCAGGCGAGGACGCCCCAGCCAGAGCTCTGCCAGCACAAAGAGCCATAGAAAGTCTGGCAAAAGGTAAGACGGTGTCTTACTGTTAGATAAAATGATTGACAGATAACAAGGCTTGTGAAAAACGTTATTATTATTATATATTTGGATTATTTATTATTATTATAATGACTCAAATTAGACTATGTAATAGGCCTACTTAACACTTTTCTTAATTTCTCACTGAATTTAAACTAAATGACAAATTCAGGTTTTTTTCCCCCAAAATACATGAGGGAAGTTTTTTTTGTTTTGTTTTTTTGACCCCAGACCCAGAGGAAGACCTGCTCTGAATTGTCAGAGTACACTATGATGATGATGATGATGATGATGATGGTGTCCTTATCATTGTCATTAAAAATAGAAAACTTGAAGGAAGCTGATACAAACGCCTGTTACCTTTCCCCCTCAAACATCCTCTATTTTATCTGCTTTTTAGAAGAACTACAGAAGCAGCTGTTAGAGCAAGTTGAGCTGAGGAAAAAGCTGGAACGTGAATTTCAAAACTTGAAAGGTAAGCTAAATTCTGCAACAGTGCTTCTCCCTCTATTTTGGCTTTTATCACTGATTTCATAGACAGAGACTCAAAAGTCTCTGTGGTGCATGTTAAGTGTTCCTCTTCTGTCATGTTTGTGAGTCAGGCCAAAACATGACCCCTTGCCATGCCATGACCAAATCCACCTCAATAGTGGCTTTGCATGTCCTCCCGGAGCGGAGTGAAAAATCTGTTAAAGGGCATTCTTCCAAAAATGCTAAGTGGTTCAGGGACACGCTCCCATGGGAAGAGTTGTTTTCAAAACCTCTTTTAACACTGATGTGAGAGGATTATGATTTTAACCTTCTGTCCAAAAACATCCATGCATCCTCAGAAAGTACTTCTGTGTAGGGAAGGAAGTGGAAGTGCAGAGCTTACAGAAATATATAGTAAATACAGTGAGCACAAATAACATAACATATATGGACATTTAAAAAGGTTAATATCAACAAAATATTATGTTAAGTTATGTAATAGCTGAGGAGAATGTCAGTTATATCCAAAATATCAGAATTTATATTAAGCTGTTTTGAATGACAACAGGAAATTTCCGTCTGCAGTGAATACATTTAGAACATCTCTATTTGCAATCCTAAGTAAAAACAACCAGACCTGTGCTTTAAAGATCATCCTTAGTATGAAATTGTATCAATATCCAGAAGAAGTAACTTATATGGATCTCAGGTAAAAACATCAGCCACATTCGGACTGCTGCAGTATTTTTAACTGACAATGACTCCTAACACCCTCCACCTTCTCTCCAAAATGCTTATAAAAACATATAATCATCCACTTTACTCTTTTCAATCAATGTTTTGCTCGAAAGCTATTTGAGAATCTCAAATTATAATGTAGAATAGATGCGCTGCACAGAACTGTTCATTTAAAGCACACAGTGTGAAAAAAATACAGCAGTATTTACCAAAGATGTCTTTGTTTTTAAACTTTCATTTAATTGTGCAAAAATCTCAGATCTCCAGACAGGAAAAAACAAAGGACTGTCATGTAAGGTAATTAAAAAGCTTTTATCAAAATGATTGCATCACTAAACCAGCGCATAAAGTCCAGTCTTCATCAGTTTTGGGTGTAAATAAACTTATACCCATACAGTGCTGTGGGTGGATTACAGGCTCTGGATACTGATTTGACTGTATCTCAAATATAACCTGTGGTGTATTATTTAAATGTATATTAATTTGTCTCACTTCTAGACAACATCACATATGTCAAAGTTAGAAAGACATTTTAGAAATTAATTAGGAGCTATTAAATCAATGTAAAGTGTTCGCATGGTTGGGTTCTCTACATTAGCAGAAAATAATTAAACACTTCATACACTATAAGATTATTTGGGGACAATAATATCCCATCACCATCTAACAAACCTGATATCAGTTGCCAGTACTGCATCTTACTTAAAAGCATATTATATTAAATATTATTTACTTTTGGGAGAAGACAGGACAACTGGTTTATCTGAAGCACTGGACACTTCACTCTACATTTATTCTATATTTTTATCTCCTTTATATGCTCACAATTACCAGTAAGGTGGGTTGTTAAAGGATCACATCTATAGTCTGCAAACATGTTTAAAATACTGACGAAAGCATGAATTAGGCCTACAACACAAACAAAAATGTCCACATAGTTGGACACATTATGATTTTTCTTAGGTAGTTCAGTTTGAACAAAAAGGAATCAGGTTACTATTGCAAAATATTTTTTCATGCACACTTTATAATTTAAACTCTCATTGCAACATTTATCCAAATTTTCTGAAAACTAACATTGAGACTTCTTTTATTTAAAAAGAAAATACAGACCTAAATAATTTACATTAAAATATTTAAACAATTCTTCTTCCTAATCTCAACTCCAACACATGCATTTAAGTGTTTTGTTTGCTGTTATTTGGATTCTTGGAGTTTGTACGTGAAGTCGGTTCCTGGTTTGTCGCTTTGTCTTGAGAACAGCGCTCTCTAGAGGCTGATTAATCTTCGGACCGGACTACTTTAGTGCAATTAAGTGATATCAATCTCGCAAAAGCAAGAATATAGAGAGAAGGCTTCATCGATCTAAAATAAACTAATCAGTTTTACTTTTTATGTTCACATGAATATTTGCGATACATATGAGAAAAAGTACAATGTATTTTCAGTGTTTCGGGGGTGAAACTGAGACTGAATTAACCTTGTTTCATTTTAAAATTATGATTTTATTGATGCTATCTTTTTGTATGGGTTTACCACACCACTGACTCAAATCTGTGCCTGCCATTTGTTCCTCAGATAATTTTCAGGATCAAATGAAAAGGGAGCTTTCCTATAGGGAGGAGATGGTTCAACAGCTTCACATCGTCAGAGGTGAGAAAAATAAAGCAGAGGGAGCGGATTCAGCAGCGCTGCCACATGCCTTCACTTTCCACCCTGGATTTACAGATTTACTGTGGCATAGAATTGGCGACGTGATTGATGATGCTCAAAAAATGATCTGTGTACGCAGGATATCAAGGCTCTGTCTGGCTTTGTCTGTCATTTACTGTTAAATTAAATGTGGGAAACACTTCAAACTGGACCTGATTTTTCTTTCACAATTAACTTGTGATCAATTTATTAATTCCCGCATATTAATGAGATACAGACACAGCACTGAAACCATGTGGAGATGACAAATAAACACACAATTTCCTCACACGATTTAAATTGATTGCTGCTCAGTGTGCATCTTACAGGCTTTGTCTTTCTGTCTTGGTTATCCAGACACTTTTGGACCAAAAAAAAAAAAAAGAAAAAGAGAGAGAAACTCTTCCTTTTAAATTCAGGTGGAATAGAAGATGTGAAGATTATATCCCACCACCCAGAGGCTCAGACAATCACCTTACATGCAGATCGGAACTTGTGACATTTTTTGAGCATGAATCAATTGTGTAACAGTGTTTAACTCCAACATACCTGCTGTGTGTGTTGTATTGTATATAATATATTTACATTATAGGCTATTAAATGTTCAAAAAGACCGATTTATACTCACGTGCATGTACACTATTGATTGTTTTATCTCATTCTTCTTAGAAGCTCACGACGCTTTACACCATTTCTCGTGTAAGATGTTGACTCCTCGCCACTGCACCGGATCCTGTTCCTTCAAATCCCCCCTGCTACCACCCTGAACCAGAATATACACACATTTATATGACAGAGAAACCAAGGGCACATCTACAGCCTCTGTCAAACCATGAAAAACTTCCAGGGACACTCTTGAAATCACGTCGAAAGAAGACTAACCTGTAATTACTTGTACAATTTTAAAAACGTGTATCTCCACCTTCAGCATTCATGTAACCATCTTGCATACGGTGACATTTGTTTTACTGAAGTTATACCATTGATGATATTTATTATTTGTGGCAAAGTGCAATGACAATGTATGTATCTTGTAGCTTAATAGTTATAGGTTGTTATTTTGTTTTTTTGTTGTCAATAATAGCAGCTTTGACTAGCCAATTCATTGCTCCTTATCCTCTCAGTATTGTGAATTAGCCTACTACTTTTGCTGTGGTTGTCTTTGCAAGCCAATAGCTTACTTTGGATGTTATGCACTTTAAATGAGTGATGGGGAATTACCATAAACAGCTTGTGCATTGAAATAAGCCTACAGTATAATTATTTGTAGTGGTCAAACCATGCCTATTTGTTTTTGAAGACTTAAAAAAACACAGAAGTTAGTAGGCTATATTAGTAGGCACCCTCACCTTGTAAGTATCGACAGTTCTATTAAGAGTAGCCTATTTGTTCATGTAATATTTGTTTTCATCGCTATTGAATAAATCATTTTATTAAAGAAATGTGGATTCTTTCCCTGAATATGCATATATTGCCCCGTCTTACAGCTCTATTAATTTTACGCATTTATCTTGAGATGCGAAGAATTTGCTCTGCCTTTTAATTTATGTGTGTGTGTGTGTGTGTGTGTGTGTGTGTGTGTGTGTGTGTGTGTGTGTGTGTGTTGGATTGCTGAGGTTACAAAAAAAAGCCAAAAATAAGATACTGATGAGAAAACAGGTTTATTTTTCTTTGGTTGCACCGTAGGATAAAAATACAACTAACTATTATTTTTCACTGTCGAATATTTGGTTGATTAATCGATTGATTGTTTGGACCACAGAATGTCAGAAATAGTGGGAAGTTACCAAACTGACATCATCAAATTGTTTTAGTTGTAGTTTTTCTGTCGGACCAGGAGTCAAAAACACAAATAGTTTATAGCTATTTATAATTCAGTAATTAGTGATACAACTGAGAAAAAAAAATCGCATTTAATCAACCAGTTATGCTAACTGAACCACCAATTAACGGATTATCCAAATAGCCGGTCATTAATTTTCTGTCAAGCGACTAATCAAATTAATCAATTAATCATTGAGGCCTTAGATATAAATAAAAAAATAAATAAACATAACCTCGAGCCTATGTAACCGGTCCGTTTTATTTATGTGTAATGTTTTACCGGCAGAACAAAACCCTTGAAACAAATGAAATGGCCTTTCAGTGGTCCTAAGTATACCCTTGACGACCCATGTGTAGTTTTCTGTGCGGCGGCAGCGCCCCCTGCTGTCTTCTGCGGAGACGCTGCAGATAATTTTGAACTGAGTCTGTCCCTTGAGGATAGCTGTTGCGCCTGCGCAGCTAATGTAACAAGATGGCGGAGAGTGCGGAACTGAAGGTAAAGTGAGCCCCTACATTAGCTTGACAATTAGACGTTTCACGCAGTGATATTAGCACTTCAAACCATAGCGCCATTGTAACTTGACAATAGAGACCCCAAGAGTGTTGTTATCAAAGCATTTAATAATTTTAAAAAAGCAGAGCAGCGGAGACAAGACAAACTGTTAGCTGGCTGGTTAGCTCGCTCGCTAGCATTAGCTTTGTTATTGTTGCCGACGTCCCGTTAGTCTGCCTCTGCTGTCGGCTCACCTGCACATATTAGGCCACATATCGCTTTTGTTTGGGTAAAATATGAAAACCACATTCACATCAGCGGGTTGAAGCCAGCGGCACTGCAGTGTTAGACACCTGACACTGTTCGTAGTTCACCCGGCTGACCGCAATGTCTGTTTTTATAAAATGGGCTCTGTCTATTACCTGGAAGGAAAGCGCAGTTTATCTTCCATTAGCGTTATTTCTGCTCAGATGTGACCGGAGTCCATTGGATATAGTCCCTATCCAGTCTGTAATGTTACCCATGTTGACGAGTATTGTTCAAACACACGACATAAAGTAAACACTGTAACATGAAGTTTTGTGATAGTCAGGTTACTTCAGTATAATACAGGCGTTGGTAGCTCGTTTATGCTAAATCTACGCTGTCTCTTATTCTCTTAATGTTGATAACTTGTGTTTTAATTGACAGAAAACACTGTGTATATATAATTGTGAAAGGTTTTTGTTCTGCTCTGCTCCCTTCTTAAACAAATCGATGCACTGATGCTCCTCCTCATCACATTAGCCGTATTATATCCTCACCGTGAACACATTTAAGTGTTGTATAGCATAAAAGGTATTTAACATAGATACTCATCAGAGTTTGGCTCACTCATATCACATATGGTACATTTACATACAGTGCTAACTGGGCTCCTCTGTTAACACACAGATGACCTTGATTGATAATCAAAATGGTTTGCCAATAACATTTTCATATGCACTTAATAATTGCAGGTTGTCTTTTTAATGCCAGCATTAATGTTTGATTTGTGTGTGACGCTACAGTGCACTTTTAAAGTTATTCACAACAGATAACTATATATATATATATATATATATATATATATATACGATGGACATAAGAACATGAGTACTAGCCTGTAATGTAGAAGTGTTGATCCACTTCTTTGCTGCTTCATTTAACTGTGTTACATTGTTAGATTGTGTTGTGTTGTTTCTGACGTTTCTGTTATTCTTAAAATCTTCTACAAGAAAAATAACAGGACCATCTCATAGTATAATGCAATGTAATACAACACTACAGACTACTTTTCCAAAAATTTGAAAAGTTGAATGAACATCTCCCTGACATTGTATCAAGAAAGTCTCTGGTGTGTTATATTCATGTTATTATGTCCTGTATTATCAGTTGCAGCATGTGGTGATCTTTTATGTATTACAGCTTGGAAGAAGTAGATTGAATGCGGTCTCTGCTTCTAGCCAAAGAGCTGTCTCTGCCACAGTCATCTCAGAGTGGCTGTGTGTTAAACATATTTTATTTTATTTGGGTTGCAGCGCTATACCAGGGTATGAAAATATAAGGTTATCATACCGTATAGAACTGTATTAGTGTTATTTAAAATAAATAAATGTAATTCTACCGTTATTAGTGTTAAAAACATTAAAGAACATAATTTTTTTTTAATTATAAAAATAAAGAAAAATCCCTTCTGTTTTCATTCCTTTAAGGGTAATCATACATGATAATAATAATAATTGTGTAATACTATATGTCGTTATACTGTGAAACCTCCTCATATCATTGCAACCCTAATTAAACTACTAGCTGGAACAAAGGCTAAAGAAATTATGTTAAGCTTCCTGCTCCAAGCATATTTCAGAAAGAGAAATATTATGGGTGTGGACAATTTCCAAGCAAGTGAAGGATTTTAATGATTAAGAATGAATGAATCAGACATACTTTAATAATACTGTTTTAAATGATACAGTCTGAAGTCAAAATGAGAAAAGGAAATTTGTGTCTTAACAGCAGAATAGGAAACAGTATTTTCCAGGGTGTAATAGACCATTTTTCCTGCTCTTCATTTTTCACCAGCAAATGGTAATGAGCCTTCGAGTTTCGGAGCTCCAAGTGTTGTTGGGTTATGCAGGACGGAATAAGCACGGACGCAAACACGAACTTTTGACCAAAGCTCTTCACCTACTCAAGGCTGGTTGCAGTCCTGCAGTGCAGATGAAGATCAAAGAGCTCTACAGACGGCGCTTCCCGACCAAAATGGTTTCACCAGTGGACCTGGCGCTGCCTGGTGTTCATTCTGCCTCCAGCCTCGCCCAGCTGGGATTTGACAGCCACGGTTCCCCATCGCCTCTGCTACCTGTCTCTTTACTCGGGCCTAAGCATGAGCTGAGTCTGCCTCACCTCCCCTCCTCCCTGCACCCTGTACACCCTGATGTCAAGCTCCAGAGATTGCCATTCTATGACGTACTGGATGAGCTCATTAAGCCAACCACCCTGGGTGAGTTTATCACTTCCTGCTCAGCTGTGTATGTAGTGATAACACTTGTACCTAGTGCATATACTGATGGAGCATTGTGACCACAAGTATCTGAACCGTGACTTGTCAAAACCACACTCTGTAAAAGTTCACTATGAGTCGAAACTAGTACCTAGTGATGTTTGTAGGTGTCCCTCTGACTCTGTTTATGGTTTCTTTTAGCCTCAGACAACAGTCAACGGTTCCAGGAAGCATGTTATGCCTTCGCATTAACACCACAGCAAGTTCAACAGATCAGCAGCTCCATGTAAGTGAGAAGGCTCTCGAGCACAGTCTTCAGCTGTCAAAGAGATGGGAAGAAGAAATAACACTGTTAAAGCATTATAATGACAAAACCCCTTTTTCATTTCACTGTCTACACTTTATAAAGCAGGTGTTATCTGACACAACAAGCAGTTTGAGTAAACTGAGCTTATTAAATTGTTTCAACTAGCTTGACCTGCTTCTCTTTTACTTATTTAGGGACATATCTGGGACCAAATGTGACTTTGCTGTTCAAGTCCAATTAAGGTATGTCTAACATATTTTTCTTCGGAGCCTAAAAACGTTCTCTTTTATTCAAGAAGTGTACGTGCATTCAGTGACTAGTGGTTCAGTGTTTAGCTTGTCTCAGTTCTGAAGGAACCAAAAATAGCTATGTATTTTTGCATGGGTCTTGTCATTTCAGTCTTTCTTTATTCTTGAAATATATCTGCATGTTGAAGAGCCTTCTTAGTGGTCTAGGTTTCAGATTCAGACTTGAGAAGTAAAAGCCATCGCCTAAGTTTTAACTTTTGTACTCTTCATTAGCTTATTAGTTGTAAATGATGGTAAATGACAAAGACAGGAATCCAATTGAATTACCACGAGAATAAGTTCTGAATTGTGGAACGAAGGATGCAGCAGGGTAGGGCTTGTCTCCTGGATGCACACGCTGCAAGTTTTACAAAAAATGTGGACACATTTTAATGGACAATACAGGCTAAGTGCAGTATTGGCAAAACCTTGATTCAAAGCAATGGTGGCATTCTCACCGATATGTTAAAAATGTGTTTATTCAGGAGTATAGTATATTTGATATCTTACAGGCAAGCGAGTGTATGTGCATCCATTACTTCATGTAAAACCTTATGTGAAACAATCAAAGTAAACCGGCACACTTTGTTGCCGTTGTTTTACTTGAGAAAGAATATCTAATGACATTTAAAAATGACGTTTTTTGTAGTTGCAGAATAAAATATTGACTGTATGGATGAATGCCATCCTTTAAGAAGTCCTCTCCTATATCATAGATGGAGATGGCTGTTGACACAACTGAAATGGTAAAATAAGCAAGCAAGCCAACCTTTTTATGAAAGTGGCAACTTAACAGAAACAAATTGACATTTGTCCCTCAACATTGGAGCTTACCACTTCTGTAATTTATTGTCTTCATTTACAGATTTTGTTTATCAGAGACAAGCTGTCCCCAGGAGGATCATTTCCCTCCTAATCTGTGTGTGAAGGTTAACGGCAAACCCTGTAATCTCCCGGTGAGTTCAGACAGTTTGTTGTTAGTCTGTCTTATCATATTTTCTGTGTATCAC